TTAATGGAGTTATTATTTTGTAAAAAAGAAAAAGAAATTTTAAAATACTACAAAAAATATATTATATTATTTAATTAAGTTATCTTGTAATCGGATTTTATTTTATAATTGGGCAGTTCGGGCAGTTTGAAGGTAAAACCACAAACCAAATCAATTATATCGGTTTTAAAATTTTATAATTCAAACCAACCCAATTTTATATCAGTTTGGATTGGTTTTTGATTGAATTGGATCAGTTTAGGTCAGATCAATCGGATTGGATCGGATATGAACACCCCTACTCACATGTGCAAAATTTGGATACGGGTGTACCACTTACTTTGTTGAAAGCAAAAAAAAAAAAAAAAAAAAAAAAAAGGGTCTTCCCAATGACCCTCTCCTTTTTCATAATCAACCTCTTTGCAAATTATGGGAAGAATGTTGGTTTAAAATTAAAATCTACGCCTACAGACAATTTGCAAGAGAGATAGATGCCTTCCTGCACAATGAGTTACTAAATCTGCTTTAGACAACTCCAAGAACTTAAACACTACAGTGAATCAAAGCTAACAAACCCTAAACAAACTAAATAGCTTGCAAATTAAAGTAAACTTGAGAGAAAAAGATGTACCCAAATTAAGTTAAACATGTTTATTCTCATATTAAATTGTTATCTACAGACATGTCGAAAAATTAAATTACTGCTGATTTCAAGATCTAACCTTAATTAACACCAAAACAAACACGAACAAGAACTAAATTAACATGCTCAAAATTGAGAATAAACATAAACGCCATATAAGTAATCATTTGATAAAATGCTACTTATCATAAACATTAAATTAACACCGATCAAAAAAGGAACAGTACCTTAAAGAAATTCAAAAGCTTGAAGTTCATTACATGAAACGAAATTGCTGAAGTAAATACATGAACTAATTTGACTATTGGAATGATGAAAAACAACCTAAATCTATTGGGAACTGTGTTGAAATTCAAAATCTGTAAGCAAAAGTGAGCAATTGTAGAGAAATTGAAAGTATGAAAATTTGAAGGTTGTGTGTAGGGGTTGGCTGTGTCTTCTGTTATCCAAAATTTCCTTTTTGTTTCCCTTTTCTCGACTACAACTCCCCACTTTCTATAATTACACAAATTGTGAGCAGTTTTCTTAAAGAAGTGAGACACCTCAATAGTTGATAGGGCCAGACTCTCTTCCAAATTTCGCCACCTGTTCTCTTATCTGATAACCACACCCATAACTAAAACCTCCTCCTAAATTTCAGTTAAAACAGACCCAATTTGACTCAAAAAAGTAATTAGAAGAAAAAATATTATCTTTTTACCTCCTTCTTTCTTATGTGGAAGCTGATCTGTTATGAGGCCCAAAATTGTAAAATTGCATCTCTGACATTGCTAAATCTCCTCCATCCATTAAAAATTTTTGACACATGGCATGATTTTAAATTTTTGCAATTTATGGTGTAAATAATGCCCCCCAACACTTGATTTCATGAAAATAAATCCAAGTGTTGTAAATTAAATAAATTGCATGCACAACTTTAACTCCCTATGCCACATGTAAGATTTCAACTATTAAAATACACATGTTAAACAACTTCAAGATCTGAAAGAGGAGATCTCAAACCTTGATGCTAATCTTGCAAAACTGAAGAAATAGATCCCAAAGGAAGAACAAATAGAGCAGAACTTGGCGATGCAGCATAGTAAACTCCACACAGATTTAAAAGTAGACCTACAAGCACTTTCCAGCATCAAAACACAACTTTGTTCTCTCACGGCCTCTTTGTCCAAGCTTGTAGCAACTTGCTTGTTGTACGTTCTGTTCATATTCTATTGTAGGTTGAAATTTGTCACAGCCAAAATCTAGTCGTTGTGATTGCTCATGACCAAAGTTGGCCTACTTACATATTCAGCTCAACACTTTTTTTGAATTATAAAATGCTAAAGAAAAGAACAATTCCTATTGCAAATCTATCTTAGGTAGAATTCATGGTATCTAGACTTTCAGCCTCCCATGTTGTAGGATAGTAAGGTTTAAGGTATATTCCATTTATTTTCGAGGGTGTAACTCTCC